CAATAAAGACTTAATACTCTCTTAGTCAAATATATTAATCTAAGATTTCTTTTTTATTTCTCATTTTATTTCTCAATTTAATAGCCGTAGATTGTTCATCTTAATGAAGGACTTTACAGGCATAGATCCACAGGTAAATGTGAACGTATCTATAAATATCATCGTAAACTGTTCATTTTAATGTTCATCTTTTAAATCTTTCTTTTGCTACTATTTTTATTGATTAAGTATTTTTAACATGAATAAATTAAATTTTACTTTATAAATTATCACACGGGTTCAAGTCCCTTATAAACGGGAAAAAGTCTATATGTTGATATAAATATTTTTATATACGGAAATAAGTTACAATAATTTTTTTAAACTAGAATAAGTTACAAATATTTTTATAAACGAAAAAAATTTAATTTATTATTCAATTATTATTATAAATCGGAATAAATTACAAATATTTTTTTTATAAATAGACACACGAGTTCAATGCTCTTTCTATGTTTGTAACTATATAAATGTTAATTAACTGAATAAATATATACAAATTTGATAAATGAGAGTGAGAGACGTATAATGTGAATTCAGACGGTAATCGTATGATAGCACGAGTTTCTTACTATTTAATGTTGTTAATTTCATATTAATTTCTAATGCACCGGTTTTCTAAACGTCGTTTTTAAAGACTTTTCGTTGCTATTTTCAGAATATACTATTTCAAATTATTCTATTTTTTTCTTATATATAATTAATGTTTTTTACTAATTCTAAATTATGACACTTAAATTACATTTTTGCTAACTCTATAGTTTTCTTCTATTAATTGTTTCTTATTCAATTCTTATATTATATAATTTAACAATAAAGACTTAATACTCTCTTAGTCAAATATATTAATCTAAGATTTCTTTTTTATTTCTCATTTTATTTCTCAATTTAATAGCCGTAGATTGTTCATCTTAATAAAAGACTTTACAGGCATAGATCCACAGGTAAATGTGAACGTATCTATAAATATCATCGTAAACTGTTCATTTTAATGTTCATCTTTTAAATCTTTCTTTTGCTACTGTTTTATATTAATTCAGTATTTTTAACATGAATAAATTAAATTTTACTTTATAAATTATCACACGGGTTCAAGTCTCTTATAAACGGGAAAAAGTCTATATGTTGATATAAATATTTTTATATACGGAAATAAGTTACAATAATTTTTTTAAACTAGAATAAGTTACAATTATTTTTATAAACGAAAAAAATTCAATTTATTATTCAATTATTATTATAAATCGGAATAAATTACAAATATTTTTTTATAAATAGACACACGACTTCAATGCGCTTTCTATGTTTGTAACTATATATATGTTAATTAACTGAATAAATATATACAAATTTGATAAATGAGAGTGAGAGACGTATAATGTGAATTCAGACGGTAACCGTATGATAGCACGAGTTTCTTACTATTTAATGTTGTTAATTTCATATTAATTTCTAATGCACCGGTTTTCTAAACATCGTTTTTAAAGACTTTTCATTGCTATTTTCAGAATATACTATTTCAAATTATTCTATTTTTTTCTTATATATAATTAATATTTTTTACTAATTCTAAATTATGACACTTAAATTACATTTTTTCTAACTCTATAGTTTTCTTCTATTAATTGTTTCTTATTCAATTCTTATATTATATAATTTAACAATAAAGACTTAATACTCTCTTAGTCAAATATATTAATCTAAGATTTCTTTTTTATTTCTCATTTTATTTCTCAATTTAATAGCCGTAGATTGTTCATCTTAATAAAAGACTTTACAGCATAGATCCACAGGTAAATGTGAACGTATCTATAAATATCACCGTAAACTGTTCATGCTAATGTTCATCTTTTAAATCTTTCTTTTGCTACTGTTTTATATTAATTCAGTATTTTTAACATGAATAAATTAAATTTTACTTTATAAATTATCACACGGGTTCAAGTCCCTTATAAACGGGAAAAAGTCTATATGTTGATATAAATATTTTTATATACAGAAATAAGTTACAATAATTTTTTTAAACTAGAATAAGTTACAAATATTTTTATAAACGAAAAAAATTCAATTTATTATTCAATTATTATTATAAATCGGAATAAATTACAAATATTTTTTTATAAATAGACACACGAGTTCAATGCGCTTTCTATGTTTGTAACTATATAAATGTTAATTAACTGAATAAATATATATAAATTTGATAAATGAGAGTGAGAGACGTATAATGTGAATTCATACGGTAACCGTATGATAGCACGATTTCTTACTATTTAATGTTGTTAATTTCATATTAATTTCTAATGCACCGGTTTTCTAAACGTCGTTTTTAAAGACTTTTCATTGCTATTTTCAGAATATACTATTTCAAATTATTCTATTTTTTTCTTATATATAATTAATGTTTTTTACTAATTCTAAATTTGACACTTAAATTACATTTTTGCTAACTCTATAGTTTTCTTCTATTAATTGTTTCTTATTCAATTCTTATATTATATAATTTAACAATAAAGACTTAATACTCTCTTAGTCAAATATATTAATCTAAGATTTCTTTTTTATTTCTCATTTTATTTCTCAATTTAATAGCCGTAGATTGTTCATCTTAATGAAGGACTTTACAGGCATAGATCCACAGGTAAATGTGAACGTATCTATAAATATCATCGTAAACTGTTCATTTTAATGTTCATCTTTTAAATCTTTCTTTTGCTACTATTTTTATTGATTAAGTATTTTTAACATGAATAAATTAAATTTTACTTTATAAATTATCACACGGGTTCAAGTCCCTTATAAACGGGAAAAAGTCTATATGTTGATATAAATATTTTTATATACGGAAATAAGTTACAATAATTTTTTTAAACTAGAATAAGTTACAAATATTTTTATAAACGAAAAAAATTTAATTTATTATTCAATTATTATTATAAATCGGAATAAATTACAAATATTTTTTTTATAAATAGACACACGAGTTCAATGCTCTTTCTATGTTTGTAACTATATAAATGTTAATTAACTGAATAAATATATACAAATTTGATAAATGAGAGTGAGAGACGTATAATGTGAATTCAGACGGTAACCGTATGATAGCACGAGTTTCTTACTATTTAATGTTGTTAATTTCATATTAATTTCTAATGCACCGGTTTTCTAAACGTCGTTTTTAAAGACTTTTCGTTGCTATTTTCAGAATATACTATTTCAAATTATTCTATTTTTTTCTTATATATAATTAATGTTTTTTACTAATTCTAAATTATGACACTTAAATTACATTTTTGCTAACTCTATAGTTTTCTTCTATTAATTGTTTCTTATTCAATTCTTATATTATATAATTTAACAATAAAGACTTAATACTCTCTTAGTCAAATATATTAATCTAAGATTTCTTTTTTATTTCTCATTTTATTTCTCAATTTAATAGCCGTAGATTGTTCATCTTAATAAAGGACTTTACAGGCATAGATCCACAGGTAAATGTGAACGTATCTATAAATATCACCGTAAACTGTTCATGTTAATGTTCATCTTTTAAATCTTTCTTTTGCTACTGTTTTATATTAATTCAGAATTTTTAACATGAATAAATTAAATTTTACTTTATTAATTATCACACGGGTTCAAGTCCCTTATAAACGGGAAAAAGTCTATATGTTGATATAAATATTTTTATATACGGAAATAAGTTACAATAATTTTTTTAAACTAGAATAAGTTACAAATATTTTTATAAACAAAAAAAATTCAATTTATTATTCAATTATTATTATAAATCGGAATAAATTACAAATATTTTTTTATAAATAGACACACGAGTTCAATGCGCTTTCTATGTTTGTAACTATATAAATGTTAATTAACTGAATAAATATATACAAATTTGATAAATGAGAGTGAGAGACGTATAATGTGAATTCAGACGGTAACCGTATGATAACACGAGTTTCTTACTATTTAATGTTGTTAATTTCATATTAATTTCTAATGCACCGGTTTTCTAAACGTCGTTTTTAAAGACTTTTCATTGCTATTTTCAGAATATACTATTTCAAATTATTCTATTTTTTTCTTATATATAATTAATGTTTTTTACTAATTCTAAATTATGACACTTAAATTACATTTTTGCTAACTCTATAGTTTTCTTCTATTAATTGTTTCTTATTCAATTCTTATATTATATAATTTAACAATAAAGACTTAATACTCTCTTAGTCAAATATATTAATCTAAGATTTCTTTTTTATTTCTCATTTTATTTCTCAATTTAATAGCCGTAGATTATTCATCTTAATGAAGGACTTTACAGGCATAGATCCACAGGTAAATGTGAACGTATCTATAAATATCAACTGTAAACTGTTCATTTTAATGTTCATCTTTTAAATCTTTCTTTTGCTACTGTTTTATATTAATTCAGTATAGAATTCATTTTTGACTAAATTGTAGAATCTTTTTAATAAAATCAAATTAACATTAAAGATTTAATACTCTTTTGGTCAAATATATTAATATAAGAGTTCTTTTTATTTCTTAATTTAAAAGTTGATGCATATTATTAGTCTATATTTGTAACTATGTGAATGTTAATCAACTAAAAAATATATTCAAACTTGACAAATGAGATTTGACAACGTATAATGTGAATTTAGACGGAACCCGTGCGATAGCACGGATATCTTAGAGCATAAATATCATTGTTTTTTTTAAAAAGTATATAATTTTTCCTATTTGTTCATGCAGACGTGATTTGTTGATAGGACCGACGCTTGCTACAAATATGGAGTTAAATGCCAACATGGTTTACATGAGACATATACTCAACTGAAAATATGGTAACATACTTAATAATTTAATAATCTATAAATGTAATGTGAATCCAGACGAGACCCGTGCGATAGCACGAATTTGTTACTAGTTACATATAAACTTATTCACTCTAATTAATTACTACATTTACCACCCGGTCCTCCAAATTGAATAGAATATCCATTACTTCTTTTTCTATCTTCATAGTTCGTAACACCATAACAATTAGGTGCATCATTGTCTATTCCTACCATAAATGGTAGAGGATCAAAATGTTTTTGAATTTTATTCAAAAATTTCAAAAACCTAAAATAAGATACATGAGTGAAGTCACCATCAGGTTTGTGTCCGGAACCCATTGTAGGACTATCAGTACCCGCAGGAGTTACAGTATATCCACCAAATCCCACTTGATCAGCTCCGTTGAATGAGGAGAATAAAGCTGCAAGAAAGTATCCAACATCCTTATTTAACACTTTTAACCACTAATTGCCTCCTTTATCCTGAACACCACAATATTTTAAGACTTTACTATTACAATTGTAATAACTCAAAATTGTATGATTAAATTAAAAGAATATAATATCATTTTAAATGTATATATTTGATAATATTATATAACCGCTTGCTAACATTAGAATTTGAAAAATATTTTTATAACGTTACATAATTTAAATATTTTAAATTTAAACTTTACGTAAATAGATGATTTTACCTGTGCAATTTGAAGTGGCATTTCCATTATGGTTCCGCCAAAAGTAGATGTTACAGATATACGTGCACCAAAAGTGTATGATCTATCAACTTGAATGAAACCTTTGCATAACATATTAAAGCATCCATTTTTACCTGACTGTAGTTTTTTAAAACCGCGTTATATTTTAATAAACAAGTATTTTGATTTTCTAACTAAATAACATAAAAATTGAGATTAATAAAATATAAAAAAATATTAAAAATAATAATAAAATTATTCATAACAATTTATGTCACTTATATAAAATAATTTATATACTATTAATCATTGAATATTAAATAATATATAAATATTTACTTACCATCCAAAACAAGTATAAATGTGTTTGGTTGTCATTATATAATTCGGGAAACACCTAACATCGAATACAAAATAAATTAGAAAATAACTCACAAGTCTTCAAATTCATTTAAATATAAAATGTATATCCATTTATACGTACATATTTTTAAAATAAACGAACATTAAAATTATAGAATAAATTTAAACTCACATGCCATCCGATTGAGATTTTGTCAATGTTATCTCCTTCTCCTCTTTTAACATATAAATGACTTGCGCTTGATTGACCTTTATAAACATTTGGATTCCAAACACTAGTAGTTCCACTTACTCCATAATAAGGAGCACCAATTCTTGAAAGATACACACGAGCAAACTACAATTTCAATGGATTTACATATTAATTAAAAATATGTAAATCATTTTTCGTTGTCCTCCGAATAGGAACAGTTTCTTCAGGACACCTAACTTTTTCAAATATGAATTTTGACTTGATTCGTGAATTCTGACCTCTAGTTTCACTAATGTTTCTTTCAAAAATTGATTTTCTCTGCTAACAAAAAAAAAAAAAGCAATGAAGATTCAAACAATGTTTACAAGCCATAAAAAATAAAATAAAAATAATATGTACTAAATTATTTTACCTGTAATTTGTGATTTTTTAACAAAGGATGATTAAAAGCAGGTTGTTTGTTAATGTCAATACAATCAATTATATATCCTGACTTTGTCTATGAAAGTCACCAAAATGAAATAAAATAAAATTGTCAGAAAGAAATGTCAAATTAAACCAATTGAAACCACCAATAAATTGTGTGAAAAATACATGAATACTCTTTATAGGAGGCTTGTTAAGGATGTTTAATTGCCTCTCCAATTCCAAATCTTCTTTCAATCCACTCTGCATACCATGATCTCTGTGACCAGTAATAATGGTCACCAAACACATAACCAGTAACAATATGTGTATCATTTTTGACATTTTCTTTTAGAGATGAATTAATTATGATAGATCGGAGTTTAGTACATTTCTTATTTATAGACAAATGTTCAAAAACAAAAAAAAATGGTATAATAATTTAATCAAAATAAAATTTATGAGGTCAAGGATATGAATTGAATACATTGATTTTTTCTTAATATTTTTTATTTTTTATTATAAATGAATATAAATTTTTTAAATTTATTAAATAATAATGTATCTAGTTTATATATAGATCCGATACACTTTTTATTTAATAAATTTAAAAAAATAAAATTTAATTATAATAAGTAATAAAAGGAGTACTTTTTTGTTTTTTTAAATGATAATTTTTGAATTAACCTTTCCTAATTTTCTTCATCAAATTAAAAAAGTCATAATATCTCAATTATTTTAATATCACTTACCATCTACATACTTTTTAGCTTTTTTTACAAACACACATTCCATTTCTCAAATATACTACATCTATTTTAAATTATAGGTCATCTATCCATTTCACACACAAATTAAAAATACATATAATTTTCTTTAAAAAAATTATAATTGTTTTCAAAAAGTATCTTTCAAAAAAAAAATCTGATTTAATCCTTTACAAAATTTATCGGGCCATATTAGTTTTTCTGTCAATATTTTTTTAAACCGATTTTTTCTTAACTTTTAAACCGTAATTGGACTATCAAGATGGATTTTATTTTTCATTTTTCATTTTTTAAATACTAAATTAATTTTTTTATATTTTTTATTTCATTTTTAAACAATTCTGAATTAGTAATATTAAAAATGTCAAAATTATTTCTTATAAGGAATCGAATATCTATTATCTATCTATTATCAATCTATTAAAAGTAAAGTACCTGGAAATTCCAAGTCTAACCTTTTGATTAGATGTTATAACTTTTCTTATTCCAAGGGTATATTTGTAACTTTCTGAAATACTTGCACCATATTGATTTGACAATAAATATGGCTGATGTGTCACACTATGGTTTTTTCTGCCACTTTTTATTTTTTTTTAATTATTTCTAACTAACAACAATTATGCCATTTTGTTTATATTTACACGTTATAATCACACCTAATTATGTGCTACATACCACTTCCCAAAACCCTCATCCAAACCAAAGATCATTCAATTTGAAATTTAAATTAAAACACTCATATTATAGTTGCTACGTACACTGGATTTTGAAATTCTAATTATTCCACTAAACCCTAATCACGTTTTTTGTTGCAAGATTTAAATTGGCAGCACAAGATGAACAACCATCATAAATAAATGTTGAGTTCTTGAAACGGTAAATCTATACAACCAAAGAAATCGTTTTTCCAAAGATGCAACAAATAACTCATTCACCCAACTCTATTAAAACACAAATCAGAAAACCTAATTTCATCTTCTTCCTGCGCCGCTCCATCTCTTTTCATTCTTCTCTCTTTGTTGCTACCAATTTCGTTTCGTTGTAATCTCAACCATCTAATATTCTCATCCTAACCTGTTAATTTATTTGTTTCATACGTTCAAGCGTAAGAATGGTGGTTGCAACCAAGACCTCTGGATCTCAACAACATCAATAACCAACAACACCCGTTATAGATCTATAAAAGAATTTCCTTCAAATGCAATTTTTAACGTTAATTTGATTCATACATATGTAAGTGACGAAGGTGAGTGATTGAAACATGTGATTGAAAGTTGAAACTGAAATGTAGTTTGGAATATCATATTTTATGTTGTATTCTTTTTGTTTTCAGGGTTGTCTTACTATTTCTCCTTTTCCAAAAAAAAAAAGCTTAACTTGACACCTAAAATGGGATATCTTTATCTTTAGGTTTGAGAGTTGCAGAAGAGAATTTTTGAGCTTGCATGTGACGAACAACACAACCATGATATTGTTTATTTTTTGCTGTTAGGTATGTTTTTTTTATTCAGATTTTATTTCTCAATTTTTTTAATTTTTTTAATTAAAATATGAGGTTGATTTTTGGCTTTTTTTATTTGTTTAGTCTTGGTGAATACAAAGCTCACACATATATATTTACGATTGATTCTCCAAATAGATAGAAGCTTATTTCTTTTGCTTCCTCTTTCAATTTATTATTAATCTATTTAAATTTCAATTTCTCCCATCACATCTTTGATAAAAGAAGGCAGTATATTCTCATTAATTTTGTTGTTTATTTTGCTTACTATTATATTTATTTGTATCTAATTGAGATTTTTGTATTTATTTTATTGATTTAATCGGTTCTTCTTTTGGAATATGTATATGGAGGCTGATAATTGATTTCACACTTGAATCAGTAGGGGACCAATCAACAAATTGAATAACGGATTGTTTCACAGTTTAATTTTTATACATTGATACGTAAAATGAAATTATGCTGATTGCGATTTGATTTTGTGATGTGAAAACAGGTTTAATATAGTCACAATCAGTCTTAACAAGGAATTATCAAACTTTACCTCATGATCGATTCAAGCATTTGTTTTTGAGGTTGAAGATAGAGAGAGGATTTGTTTTTGAGGTTAATGATAGAGAGAGGATTAGTGGTTCGGCTTATGGGGTCAACAGGACATCTGTTGCACCAATGATCTTCCTAAATTCACTGTGTGCAATGATGGACAGGGCTGTCACCGGCCTTCTCCCATGAATTCCTAAACTCACTGTGTGCAATGATGGACAGGGCTGTCACCGGCATTCTCCCATGAATTCAAATTCGCCTGAAGTTTATGGCGTGACTTTTTATCATGCCCAAAAAATAATCAGTTTGTTTTTAGTTTTAATGCTTTATAATATTATTGTTTGCAGAGTTGTCTTAGCATTTTAAGTGCAAATATTCACCATGGTCATGGCTGAGTGACCATTTGCTTCTCTAATTTCACAAACAAAAATATTGCTAAAGAAGAATTGGAGACTGCCACAACAGAACCAGAGACCACTATTTTAAATCTACTTAATCGAGTCGATTTTCATATGTGATTCATCATCAAAGCCAAGTGTTAACTTATGTTTTCATTCAAGTCATTTGATAGTTAACCTTATAATAGTAAATATATGTTCAATATGGTGCAGATGATTTGATTTCCCGAGCATTTGATTTCCATCTACAGCCATAATTGAAGATTAGGAAATTGAAACCATTGAATTTTATGCTTCCACAAGGAATATCAATGGCTTTCAATGGTAGGTACTGATTATATACTAATTGTATTTTCTGACAGATAGCAAATGCATTGCAATGTTTGGAGGAACTGTTTTTGGAAGAGGAACGAGACTTTGATGAACATGAGGATAGTCAAAGGGATGAAGAACCATAATAGAAGAATGTTTTTAACAAGATTTGATTCAAATTATGTATATGTATATTATTATTGCTTTCATATTTTGTATGTCATATCAACATTGGTTTTGGCATAATATATTTTTCTACTGCAAATTATGTTGGCCTATGTTTTAATGGAATTTATTTTACACCAAATTTTCTTTTGAATGTAACATTACCTCTAGCAAACACACTTCTCTAAGTTTCGTTCAATTAACACATTTACCATCTTTTTTAAATAGAATTTCTCTTCTCCTAAAGAGAAGATAATAACCTATAAGTTGGTGTTGATGAGCCTTCAAAATTCTAATTTATTTTGAATCGAAATTATAATTCTCATTTGTCGTGAAATTTGAATAAATTTTTTATTTTATATTGGTATTTTTTTATTTTTAATTGCTATAATTTTAGAAACAAATATTACAATTTTTAATAAAATATTTACGATTTATTTTTTTAAAGTACGACTAATTAATATATTTTTATACAATATTAAAAACAAATATTACAATTTTTTAATCAAATATTGGAGTACCATTTAATTCGATACTTTACCAATATATCTTTTGAATGAAGACATTATTATCATTTATTTTTATTATACTTATATGGAAATTATTGGTGACATAAATATATTTAATTTTTATATATGATTTGATTCCATAAAATATTATAATCAATAAAATTTGAATTCTCTTTTAATATCATAGGTTTGATACTGTTTCATATTGTAGGAATATTATATACATTAGAATATATAAAGATATGAAAAAAATTAAATCAAAACTTTACAAATATATCTTTTGAATGGAGGTATTAATATTATTTATTTTTATTATATATAGAAAATATTTTGAATGGTCACATTAATACATTTTATTTTTATGCATGATTTGATTTCAAAAATTTATGATCAATAAATTTTGAATGGAATTATAATTTAACCAATAAAATTTTCTACCGACTTCTAAATATATTTGTGTATATTTTTTGAAAGGTTACATTTATATTCTTGAAAAAAATAACGTAGTTTAAAGAATGTATTGTTAACTATAAATATATTGTTAATAAAATTAACAAAAAAAGTATATTATAAATATATAAAAGATAAAGTAAATAAGAACTCTAATGTTTATCTTAAATATTTAATTTATCATTCTATAAATGTAAGAATAAATATTATTTTGTAATTATTTAGATCCTTATTTGACCTAAAATAAATTATTTCAATTTCTATAAAAAGGTTAATAAAACAAAACAAAATCAATTGAGATTTGATAATTTTTTTAAGGTTATGAAATAACTAAAATATATCATAATATTTTCAAATTAACTTTATAATTGTAATCATGATAAAAAAATATTAAATGGTAATCATGAAAATTTAATGATTTTTTCTGACCATTGCTTTTCTTTTCAATTCAAGATTAATTGGCAGAATGGTTAGAATCTGGAAAGTTACCTTTTCTTATTGGTACTTGATTGTCCATAATTATAACATTTTTAATTAAATTTTGAAATAACACTTAACATTATTTAACGCTATTATTATTATTATTAATTATTATTATTAATAATTAAAATGGTTCACAAAAATAATCACTTGGTATTCTGTTGACTTCAGTATTTTACTTCAAAATCTTAGAACCGTGAATGTTGTATTA